TAAATTTGATTATAAAATCAACAATTCCATGAGATTTTTTAAATTAACTCGCTTGTATCCTTAAAAAAATACTTGCTAAAACTTGTACATTTTCTGTTCTATTTATTCTATATGTTCAAAATTAAATATTCTATACATATATTTTAATTTAAAGTGATTCACTTGTTTCAGATAGTTGGACAGAGTATAAGGGAAATTAAAACCCTTTCTTTTTATTAATCCCTAAAATACATAGTATATGTGCAATTCAGAGCTGTCAGATTAATGATTTAGATTAATCGTAAAATATTATTGAAATTATTTGGAGTATGTAAATATAATCAGCTACTAAAATTCAGAAATGTTAAATTACATGGAAATATTTAGGATTTTCTTTTTAGAAGGAAGTTCAATGAATCATCATTAGAGAAGGGGTGGAAGACTCGCGATCTCCTCGTGCGAGGAAAGACACGCACGCGGCGTATCTCACAGGCAATATGAGAGTTCATTTGCCACAGTTCTCGTTATGCTCGGCGTTGGTTTCGCTTAACGTTCGACATTCATCATTGCCGACGTCTTCTCGCAGTTTCGCTCTCGCGGCTGCAGCGTTTCCTCTCCGTTCCTCGCGCCGCGGCGCGTCCACGAGTCGCCCCATTCGTCCCGATGGATAAGTTGGGAAGCGCTAAACTGCTTTTGTTCCCGTGCAATAGCTACCGCTGGCCAGACACGGCGAGAGACGTAAACTTGGTCGAGTAAATACGCTAAGTGGTGCCAACGACGGGCACATACGTAAACGGCGTTTGCACGGGGCGGCGTGTACGTGCAGTGCAACGGGGAACGGTGTGCCGAACCGACACACGCCCGGCCTCGCCCGGTTTATATACGAGGTCGGAGCTCTGTGAAAATATCGACAAACAGCCAAGCCGCCCACACTCCTAAAGACCAGCCCCTCCAGGAGGGGTAGGTTGAAATTTCCCGCATTGGGGACGCGCGCGCCCCGGCGCGAAAACCCGACGTTAATACGCGTCGAACTTACCGTTACCGCGAATTCCAACGTTACGGTTTTGCACTCATTGCCTCGCGATTGCTTTCGGGATGGATGCTTGACAGACGGTAATGATAAATTATTTCGACGCGAGAGCATTTTGCGCGTATGACTCTTCAGACACTTCAGACGATCGTAGTAGCTTTCCAATTTAGCAATGCACGATCGGAAACGTGCGAGAGTTCTAGGTGCGAACAAAAATCTGTACACGTGTATTTATGTACAGTTCTCTAATTAAACTCTAATTAATTTTGATTTATAAAACGTGTTTATACAGGGTGTTATGTAATACCCGCATCAACGCTTATTGTGGGATAGAGTGGACTAGACTAAGTCGAAAAGTCCTCTACCATTTTGCAATTTTCGCAAAAGTCAGCGAGTTATTAATTAATAAAAATCGCTGTCTTAGGCCGGCCCACTGCCCAATTGAAACGTGCGGCGAGATCGATCGATCGTTACAACTCTCTGCGCGCCTAGTAACGATCGATCGATCTCGCCGCACGTTTCAATTGGGCAGTGGGCCGGCCTAAGACAGCGATTTTTAATAATTAATAACTCGCTGACTTGTGCGAAAATTGCAAAATGGTAGAGGACTTTTCGACTTAGTCTAGTCCACTCTATCCCACAATAAGCGTTGATGCGGGTATTAGGGGAACCCGGGGCATAACGGGAACGCTAAGGTTAAAATTAATTTTAAACAAAATGAAAATACATAAATGAATTATTTTTTTACGAAAATATTCTTTGAAATTAAGGAAGGAGAAGTGCCAATGTGAGCCACAAAATGAACGGATCTCAGTTCTCACAGTACGAATTAAATTCTCTCTTTAATGATATCAAGTATAAATACGTTTCGACCCTTCTTCGGGTCTTCCTCAGTTAGTCTACAATGTGAGAATTATAAACTGGTAAAATGGTAAAACTTATGCAATAACAAATGTAGAAAAAACCAGTTACCTCGTGTAACTTCAAATTATCGGACAGACTCATATCTTAAACTGTTAATCAGTCGATCTCTAGATGGTCCCAGACATAAAGAGGCTGAGTAACCGTGATTCGGAAGATGAGTCCGTGGCAACGATGTTAGTAAGACTGTGACACAGCGGTATTACGAAGCGAAAATTTGACATTAAAGTGTGGTAAACAAGACGAGGGAACATAGACCTGTGTCTCCTACAA